AAACAAAGATGCTAGCTCTCAATAGCATGGTAAGAACACAATTGTATTCTTGTATTCCAGGCCATGTGGCTCCCAAGACCTAAGCTCTCATCTTTTCACATTGAAAAGAATATGAAACTAAGCTCTCCCAGACAAACATTTTCTTTTAAACTTGCAAAACCTTCATATGATTCCATGAGGGGGGTGGGGAGACAGCTCGGTTGGTAGATTACTTGCCTTAAAAATATGAAGATCTGAGTTCTATCCATAGAACCCACATTAAAAGGCTGGGTGTGGTGGTATGTGCTTGTAATCCCAGTAAGCCATGAAGAGGAGAAAGGCAGTCAGTCCCTGGGGTTCTTTGGCCAGCCAAGCTAACCTAGCCTACTTGGTGAGCTCCAGGCCAGTGAGAGACTCTGTCTCAAAAATAAGGTGGGTGGATCCTCAAGAATGGCCCTGAAGTTGACCTCTGGCCTCCTCAGACAGGTGCACACACCCACACATCCACCCACACCCCATTTGTATCCATAACACAGAGGCCCATTTCCTTTGGGAATCATCTCTCATTGCCAAGGTTTAGGCGGCATAAATATGTTCTTAAGTAAGAAGTCACAAAGGTACCAAGCTGGAGTAATAAGCAGATTTGAAAATGATTATTGTGTTTTGGGGATGAATCACTCCTCATCTGAACTGCGGGGAGGTCGAAGGTATTTTTAATTTAATGGATTAATCATTGATGTCTGAAGTTCTTGATCCTGCCCATGAAAGCAATGCTAGAGCTTTGCAGGAAGTTATAAATCATGTCAGCATTTGGGCCTCATCTCTGGAAGCCTGGGCTATGGGTAAGTTATACTAATAATTTGTGGGGATAGTACAGCTTGCTGGGAGGGATCTTTCAAGCAGCTAGGTTAGGCAGCCATGGAAGTGGAGCATCCTGGAAGATGGCGGTAGCCCAGTCTGTGTATGAGATCCCAACTCTGCTACCAGACAGCTTGGGAGCAGCGTGGCTTTAGGGAGAAGCAACTTTATTTTGGATGGTCATTTTTTTCCCTGGGCCTCTACTTTCCCATCTGTGTAATGTGCTGAAGGCCCTGCAAGTGGTCATCAGCTTTGGTCATCAGTGTCTACCAACTATGACTAACTATGACTTAAGATAAACACGAAGCCTCCCCCAAGTCTGTCCCTCTTGTATCCATGTATTTCCCAAACATCTTCCTGCCAGGCCAGGAAGGGATCAAATTAGACCTCCAACAGCACATCTAGGCAGCTGAACCAAACTCCATCCAAGCTGCTTAGGGCCATCTTGTATACCATCAAGTGTGTGGTGGATGGTGAAAATAGGTCAGTGTCACTACCCATGTCCCCCTCCTTCCTCATGACACTCTTTAGTGAGTCAGACAGCCCCCTGAGAACCACTAGGGTCTTCCTAGCTTTCTGGTCTCCTGCACAGGGGCTTCATCCTTCAGCACCACACCATAGCCCAGAAAGATCTTTGTCCCCTTCTTCTGCAAGATTCCTACAGTGACCTAGTCCTCCTTCCTGGAAACCATGCAACATCAAGAGTTACTGAGTATAAGAACTCACTGAGCCCTCTGGGGAACTGGGTGACACCTGGCTAAGTGTTCTATCAACTTCAGTCTTGCTGAGGCCAATACCTAGGTCTGAGACTTCCATGCATTGCCTTTTCCTCTCTTTCAATGACTGGTTCCGACCTGGTCTGAGCTGTGCACTAGGCTTGCAGACATAGGATGCAGGGCTCCTTTCCTCTGTTTCCCCAGAGTATGCCATTCAGAGAACTACAACAAAGACCTGACAACTGCCTACTCTATACACCAGACACAGATTCTCTAAGGGCAGCTGCATGGCATCCCAGCTGGGTAGGCATTGGCCCTGGATGATGTCAACGTCTGTTTGTGGCTAGTGTGTGTGTGTGTGTGTGTGTGTGTGTGTGTGTGTGTGATTTAAGGGCAAGTCACTCCAGTTCTCAAAGTCCCAGTGACCTTGTCTATAAGATAGGGATGGCACACAGTATTCAATAAATGTTACTGCTGTAATTACGGCTTTTGGAACATCCTGTCTTTCCACTTGGTTCCTTCTAAGCCTGACAGAATTTTAACCCCTGTAGTACTTTGAAAACTTCCTGCAGACCATTCCCTTGTATCCTTAGGATACAATCAGGGTCTGCTTTAGAGGTGATCCCATGAGGGTGCTGAGTGCCTTCACAAGTGCCAGGAGCTAAGGACCAGCCCAGCCATCTAGCAGGCCACACAATGAAGCAGGAAGATGATCACAAGGTATCCAGCTCCCAGAATACTCTCCCCGCACTATCAGTGGTCCTTCCTTTGGCTAGAAGTCTTGAGTCTTTCAACAATTAGAGCATGGATCTATGAGCCTGTCCCTCAGACGCTCTCCAGTCCAGGTGTAACCATTCATCTTCATTGCCAGCTTGAGTAGGCACATCTTGGCCCACTCCTAAGGGTGTTATCAGAGAGAAAACCTGAGGTGGGGAGACCCACCCTAATTGGGCCTAGAATCATCCTATGGTCTGGGTCCTAGGCTGAGTACAAAGGAGAAGGTAAGCTAAGCACCACCATTCACCTCTGTTTTCTGACTGTAATGAGCAACCTCACACTCCTACTGCCTTTTCTTCCATGATGGAGACTGCACCCTCAAACCATGAGTCTAAATCTAGTTTTCTTCCCTGGATTCACATTTTCATCAGGTAGTGTGTCGCAGTAATGAGAGAAGTAACTAAGACACCAGGCAAACAGTCCATTTCCCATCTTTGGAAACAGTCTAAGCCCGGAAATGCCCACAGTACTGGGACCTTGCTCTTGAATTCATCTACACCATACGCCCATGTTTAGCCTCCCAGGTCTCCAGGGGCAGAAGGTCTAAGCACAGGGTCCTGCTACATCATTTATGAAGGAACTGGAGATTTAGAGCCTTCTCCAGTGATGGAGACATCTAGGAGGTTCTCAATCTGGAGTTCCACCATCTTCATGTTTGTCTTAGAGGAGACAAAGGGCACAAGAAGCCCCAGCTCTCTCCTTGTGCCTTAGGCTCTTTAAATTTTAAGATGCATTTTTATTTATGTGTGTGTACATCTGTGTGTGGGTATGCAAATGTAAGTGTAGGTAGCTGTGGAGGCCAGTAGAGGGCACTAGATCCTCTGGAGCCATATGTTGTTGGAGCCACTGGATATGAATGCTAGGACTTGAACATACATCCTCTGGAAGAGCAGGGAGCACTCTTAACTACTGATTCAAGTCTCCAGCCCTGTGCCTTGGGCTCTTACCAAGTGGGGTTGGATAGGAGGCTTTGGGATACCAGATAACTGTACTTCTGACTGAGGATCTGCGGGGCTGGAACAGAGAGTAGAGCTGTTTTGCGACTGAATATTCAAAGCACCATCAGCCTCTGGTAATCACTTGTCAGAGTCAAATGGTGACATTCTCTGCAGAGCACATGTTCTACCTGGGCTAGTCCCTGTTAGGAATGTCCCCTATTACTTGCCGGCTGCACGGAAGTCTAGTCCCTGAATGACCCCTAAATCTCTGGGTTGGTTCCTGTTGGGTTATAATAACTAGGAACACTTGGGTTATGATGGTGAAACCCAAGCACATTTTTAAAGAATAGGCAGAGTCATATGTAGCCCAGGCTGGCCCCAGACTCATTATATAGTCAAGGATGCCCTGGAACACTTGATCCTCCTATCTCTACCTCCTACCCTTACAGTTTGTGGGGTTCAGGAGACCAAACCCAGGGCTTTGAACATGTTAGGTAAATACTTTATCAACAAAGTTAAATTGCTAGCTAGAATCCCAGATATTTAATCTAGACACACAGATGTGAAATCTCAAAGGTACATTCCAGCTTGAGGGAAATTCTAATAAGATACTACTAGGACATGGAGAAATATAAAAGTACCATGGACACTCTGTCAAGGTAAACACAGGGCAAGATGGAGATACCCAGTTATCCCTAAACGGCTTGCCACTCACCCTTGGATCCTTGAGGTCAGTGAAGGTGAATCTACGATGTCATCATTCTTGACACCTCACTCACTCTCTCTGGGAGAAGTCCCAATCACCAGCTGTCACACAGGATCTGGGAGCTGAGTCATCTCACTGTTACCTGATACCCGAGTGCCTGATCCTGGCTGATCAAATACAGCTGGGTTTGGTGGGATGAGGCTAATTCCCTTGACATGGTGGTCCAGGAAAGGACTTCAGGGAGATTGGGGCTTGTTTTGATGGTGGGCGGAGCCAGGCTGAGATGGCAAGCAGTGTGATGTAGAGGTAGGCTAATTCCAAAATGGCTCCAGATAGTAAGTGATCTTCTTTAAAAACCACCCATAAGGTGGGTGATAACATATCCAATTGAGAGTCTATGCAAAGTGCTTATCTGGGGCTGGCTACAAATGTGCTCATAGACTGGCTTGAAAAACTGTTGGGTGGGGGACGAGGGGTGGTCAAAGGGGTTCAATTCTTCTTGGTCTTCAAGGTAGCTGGTAACATATGGACCCGAGTGAGTGGAGACCATCCCTCCAAACATGCCCATCCTCACTGGCCGAGAGAAGGCTCATGGATCCCTGTGGAGAAGGGCTGCTGAAAGGAACAGTGCCCCCCAGATGCACAGTGATGTGCTGTTACGTCACCTGTAAGAGCAATGGTGGCTTGGACTCAGGTTCTGTAATTGCTAGATCCAGAGATCAAGGTACCACATTGCGTTTGGGCCACACCTGCCCCATTCTTCACAGTAGCCAATGGAGCCTCCGCAGCCCAGGGTGACTTGCCTGCACGATTCATCCCTAAGCCCCCTCCCCCAGCATTTGGATTCATTCCATCTGTGGAAGCCTTGGGTAAACCAGGCCCAGCACTTTCTAAGCCATTCCCTTTATTACAGCAGATGGGTTATTTATGTCTTTAACAAGACAAAATGCAAGAGAGAATAAGGTTTGCTCGGAGCAGTGTGGAGGGTGCTTTGAGGGGACAACATGCATGGAGCCATTTACTAACCATTCACCTGCAGGACGTGGGTCTGGAACAGCTGCTCATGGCCCATGGCATGGCAGGTGTAGTTGCCCATGTGGATTGTGGTCACCTTGGTGATGTACAGGGAATCATCCTCTCCAAAGTCCTATGGCAAAAGAACGAGAATGAGATTTGCTTTTGTTGAGCAGATAGGACAGCTGGTGAGTGAGTTTTCCAGGAAAAACATCTCCCTCCCTGGTGCCTCCTCCTCTCCTTGTGGCCACAACCTCTTGTACTCTGCAATCAAATTCCCTCTAACTCCTGGGAATACTGGTGTGTTTCACAGGAATCTTGCTCACCTGGTGGAAGGCTTGATTCTGGAGGGAGAGACTTGTTGAGAGCAAAGTTTGACACACTTTCTTAAAGGAATAGACAGTAAATATTTCAACCTCCAGAGTCCTCTGGTTTCTGTCAACTCCTTGGCTCTGCCATGATAGCATGGCCATAACCAGGATGATATGCATGTGCATGAGTGTGGCTGCGTTTGTGGCATCTCAGGACTCTAGCTTGCTTAACCATGGTTCAGATTCCATCTAGATCCCCAAGTAGGTATAGGCAGCTTATGGGATCAGAGTCATCCAAGGAAAGAGACAGAACCGATGGGAATATGGGACAAACCAAAACAAGACAGGAACATGAGAGAGAGAGAGAGAGAGAGAGAGAGAGAGAGAGAGAGAGAGAGAGAGAGAGAGAGAGAGAGAGAGAGAGAGAGACGGGCCTATTCTCAGGGTTTCTACAGGAAGTGACCCCATGAGTCTTGGCTCAGTGATCCTTGCAGCCTCCTGGGATGGCTCTTCCTGGGTCAGAACATAGGGGAGAGGTATAAGGAGGGGTCCAATGAACACAGGGCATCAGCACCTCTCTGGCCAACTATATTCTTTCTTGCAGAACTGTTCATGAAGCTGGACCCTTTCAGGAACTAGCTGCCAATAAGTTAAGGCTCAAGATTTCTTTAGCTGTCTATGGAAATCCCTCGGTAGGTTTGGCTTTAGCTACCAGACATCTCCAAGGATGTGGCACTTGGCACTATTGAAGGTCTCAGCTTACGGGTAAGAAAAAAGGGCTGCCCAGGGTTGTATGTTGGAGACACGAGGGTAGCCAGCAGAGATACTCAGGAGATCCAGAATTGACTGCAGCTCCGCCACTGACCAAAAGCCCTGTAGTCCCCGTCTATGAGCTGTGGACAATACATGTGCCCTGGCTGCCTGGCGGGGGTGTTGGGAACTCAGAAAGAGAAAGTACGGGAAGCCAAGTGTGAAGTACATACCTGCAATGCCAGCACTTGGGAGGTGGAGGCAGGAGGATGGGGAATCCTTGTGAACTTGAGGCTAACCTGGATTGTATGAGATCCTGTCCTAGTTGAGGCTAACCTGGGCTATATGAGATCCTGCCCTAGTCAACTATCTTTTGCTGTTATAAAACACTTACCAAGACCAACTCAGGGAGGAAAGGCTTATTTCAGCTTACAGGTTATAGTCTATCATCAAGGGAATCCAGGGAAGGATCTGGAGACAGGAACTGAAGCAGAGTCCACGGCTTACTCAGCCATCTTCCCAAGGGTGCCACTACCTGCAGTGGTCTGGCCTCCCTACATCAATCATTAATCAAGAAAAGGGCCCACAGACTTGCCTACAGGTCAATTTAATGGTGGCAATTCCTCAATTATGGCTTCCTCTTTGCAGGTGACTCTAGTTTGTGTCAAGTTGGCAAAAACTAATGAGCACAGATCCTGTCCAAATCAAACCAGCTAACCAGCTAAACCAAACCAAACCAAACCAACCAACCAAACCAAACCAAAGCAATACCCAAGAAAAAGGAATGCGCATAGAGCTTTTTTTTGGTATGGGGCACACAGCACACATGCAGGACATTCCTTTTCTTGATGGTAACACCTAGCTCTCTCTCCTGCCTTCTCTGAGCTTCCTTTGTCTGCAAAGGCACTATGGAAGCAGGACTAAGGCCACCAGCCACCATGCATAGGATGTCTGAGCAGCGCCTGGGGTCACTTCTTAGTGCACCCACCGCTCCCGCCCCTGCAGCAATGACACTCTCCCTTGTTCATACTCCCAGGGCCTGATCACAGCCACATGAGTACCCCTTTAAAGATGCTTTTGGGGGATGGGGATGTGGCTCAGTTGGTGCTTGCCTAGTATGCGCAGAGTCTGAGGTTGATGCTTAGAGCACACACACACAGTGTGATGGCATACACCTATAATTCCAGCATGGAAGAGGTGGAGGCAGGAGGATCAGGTGTTCAAGGTCATCTTCAGCTATATGCTGCATTCAAGGCCAGCTAGGATACATGAGCTCATATTTCAAAGGGGAAAAACAAAAAAGTGCTTTTGGGCTAAACTGACCCAATGAAGGATGAGCAAAAGGTACAAAGTTGTGGCAGGAAGGTAGGAAGGTTGATAGTGAACATGGATCCTGCTTTCAATATTAGTAAAAAAAATAGGCTAACCATGCTCTCATCTTAAAGAAGGGTTCTGGAAGCCTGCAATGGACTGTGAAACATCACCTTGCTTAAAAGATCCCACCCCTACCATTCCGTGGAAGCATCCGTAATAAAAGAACACAGCAGATAGCCAACTTTTCCTGTGTCATAACAGAGCCATAAGGGTTCACACCTGAGATGCTGATGAAAAATTAATAGCTGGTCAGTTCTGGAATGACACATTCTGTCTAAGATGTTTCCTGAGTCAGGACATGCGTTGAGAAAAATGTTTTGCTTGGAGTCCAGGGGTGGGAGGGCAGGCCTCTGAGAGATGGCCGACGATTGGGAGCCGGAGCAGCCCCCCTCTGTATTGTGGGACATGTAGTTCATCCTCATGTGGGGGAAGTACGGAGGGAAACCCAATGCTCCACATGGTCAGATCCAGGCAGACTGCACTCCAAAGTGCAGAGCCAGAGCTGCTTGTTGGGAGTCTATTCCAGGGCCATTTGAATTTTTCTTGACTCTTCATACCATAGCCCTGTTAAGAGTCCTTGAAGGTAACCCTAGGCTCCTGTGGCCCCTTCCTCTTGTGCCCACCTTGTCAGGGTTGCCAATCACCTGGGCCACAGTCAGACTCCCAGGGGTCACCTGAAGGTGGTACACCATTAGCATCAGCAACAGAGGTCAAGAGGTTACTTGGGTCAGAATCAAATACATGGTTAGCTCCTCCTGACAGCCAGTGTTCTATATCTAAAGATCCAACAAACCAGGGGAGAAAATGATCAGAAACAGGTGCCTGTGCAGACTTTCTTCTTGTCAACACCCCTGAAGAATACAGTAAAATAACTGTTTATGTAGCATCTAAACCATGTTACACCATATACATTATGTAGAGATAGTTTATGGGAGGGTGTGCATAGGTGAGAATACTGTGCCATTTTATAAAAAGAGCTTGAACATCTCCAGATTTACGTCACCTTGTTTTATCCTCTGGGGAGGGGGGAACCAAAAACCAAACATAACACAGAACACCATCCTATGGGGTGAGTCGGTAGGATTTATTTGAAAATATCTGATTTCTTTTACCATCTCTATCGTGACACCCTGCACCCAGCCACTGTGGACTCATCTGGGTAGCAGAGACCCCCTACTTTGTCCCTCCCTGCTCACTCACATAGCTTCCCACAGAACAGGGTTTCTCAAGCAAACGCCAGATGGCGCACATCCTCACCCAGACGGGATGATAGTGGCAGCGCTGCCCCAGCCCCGGTCATCCACTCTGCTCTCTCCTAGTGTGCCCAGCCCCTCTTCCTGCTGCTTACAAGAACTTTCCACTTGCTGTCCTTCCTCCCTGGAGGCTGCTACCTATCTCTATCTCCTCCAGGGGCTCACATGTATCTGCCCTGCAGCCCAGTGCTCCTGCCTCTCAGTCTCCAAGGGTGAGTCGGTAGGATCACAAAGAGATTGTTTTACTGTGTTCACCACCTGTGAAACACACTAGACTTGAGCTTCATGGGTGGGGGTGGGGATGCTTGGACTCTGTGGTCACCGCTGTTTCCCTAGAGCGGAGTACCGCACTTCACATCAGTGGTGTTGGTTGAGTGGGCAGTAAGCCACTGAGTGAGGCTTTGTGTAGGCATAGAGTTCTGTTCCGGTTCTGTGGTATGAAAATCTGGGTGTTTGATCAAGGATTGGTTAGCCATGCACACAGGAGTGGCCACAACAAAGTGGCTGGCAGAACGGTAAGGGATTGGTCCCAGGTATTCATGTGTATGTGTGTTTGTGTGTGTGCAGGTGCATATCATATGTACATGTGTGCAGGGGCACATGTGTGCAAGTACATGTGGGAGCAAGAGGTTAACATTGGTGTCGTTCCTCAGATGCCACCCACTTTGGCACTTTGATCTCTTCATTGGCCCAGAGCTTGCTGATGTGGATGTGCCAGCTGGCCAGGGAGTCCCCGGATCCTCCTGTCTCTGCCTCCCCATGTGGGGATCACAAACGTGCACCACCACACTTGACTTTTTCCCATGGGCTCTGGGGATTGAATTTAGGTCCTCATCAACCTTAGGAGCTTTACTGACAGAGCCACATACCTAGGTCAGGCCTCATCTTGTTTCCATTTCCTGTCTATTTCTTCCTTATCCTGTATCCCCCTGAGGGATCCCATTCTTTGGCATTTTTCAGGTCAGGGCATCTGGGACAGACTAAAGGTTTAACTCAAGGCAGCAGCAGATAGAAATATCCTTGTGCAGAGCCCCAAACTGTTGATTATGCACCCCTGAAAGAGTCTGTTAGCCTCTGCCTGCTTCTCTTGTCTCTCAAGTGTAAGTCTCTCTTCCCTGTGAGCAGAGCATGCACCTGGGATAGTGGGCCTGTGGGAAGAGCTGCACCAGCCCTGAGGGATGCAGGAGCCAGCCAGATGCTCCAGAGCTCTTCTGTTAAGTACAGAGCACATCACTGCCTGTGCTGTCAGCTCAGGGAGGGCCCGCCTCTGTAATAAATAAAATAATCTCTCTAGGCTAAAACAATAGACATCATATAATTACAGAACGAAATGCATATTGTTTTCTGGATATGAATACTGGCTGCAGAAATCAAATTACCTCATTGGATGTGAGAGAATTACTTTAAACATTGATTTATAAGAAGCTACATAAAACTAAGCCTGC